TGTAAGACTCATCCGACCCTTATTTTGGCTATGTCTTCTAGCTATTGAGCCCCTCAATATTGGGACATTTTACGAAATTGAGGCCGAATACCTACTGACTAGACAACATCGCTAAACTAAGGAATTGAAATTAATATATGTTCAATATTCTGCCAAATTTTGCTGATCCATGAATGTTTAGAGTTCCCCTTACGCTCTAGCCCTAGCTTACAAACTGAAGATACGTTCAGACACCTCATCGTCTAATTTGATTCAGGATTCATGAGAATACCTAGTTGTGTTTCCACGTTATTGTTCAATGCAACGCAGGGATGTAACAAAAGGTACTGCAATATTCAGCTCATCAACATTTCTCTTGAACAATGCTTTGTAGGATAAATCAATTTTGAAGCGCGCTCATTAGACAAACCGTGTTAAGAAGAGAAATTTGCCATAAATTAAATATGTTTGGAAATTACGTTCCTGAGCACTTTCATTGCGGATTATTTCATGATATCATCAGACTTTAACTAGACGATCGACATGGGCTTGTGGCCATGGCCATTGTTTCATCAATTATGCATTATCGCTTCAATTTTACCTATCATTTTGTTACGAGGTATCTATTTAGGGTGAATAGGTCAAAAACGCCCCCCTTAAGCGCGAAACCTTCTGACACTCAACCCAACACAGATTACTCAAACCTTTGGGCACCATCATGTAGCTCATTCTTTTTACTACGCTTTGAGACCAAGAAAAGACACCTGCGTGTGGTATTTAACCCCCCAAAAAGGTTTTCGCATACCCTTACAAAAGGGCCTTTTGCCCCACACCCTGGGTAATACGCCCACACCCATGTGCAAAGCGCCCCCACCCCATCCATCAACAGAACATGATAAACATGGCAGAACTTGACGTCATTCTCACGTCATTTGTGGTCAACCTATCATAGCCTTTGGAATAAAATTTTGTTGCAATGTGTAAAATGGATGCCCGGAGGAGTCCTGAAAGTTTGGTGACGATATCTGCAGTCGTTTAGGATATATCAGCAAAAAAGGACAGGGAGAGGCCTTTTCGGCCCCGACCTACAGGGCGCTACCCTGCACTTTCACCACCGTGCAAAACGCCCAGGGGTGCGTTTTCCCCACAGTTACCCTACACTTAAATTTAGTTAACAGTGCTTTGAGCAGTGTGAACAGTGTTTTGCTGTGATTGGAGGAAGTCATCCAAAAGTGCGGAATGGCTTGCTTTCCGACGGGATTTTTCTGTTTGAAATTGCCAAAAAGCATCGGCGTCTTATGCTGATTAACTGGGTGTACGTAGATTAACAGGCACTAGATATGTCGATGAATTCCTCGATATCGATAAATATAACACTCATCATGTTCAGGTTCAATGTACAAAGTGCTGCAACGTAGTTGCTACTAGCTACATCGTAGCAGTATGGGACAATTGCAGGGGAACATTGTTCGATGGGGCCCACTGAGACATTCGCTCCACGTATAGGATAATCCTGCAACACTGCTAAAATCAGCGCACAATAATCAAACATAACGTTTGAGTCTTGATGGTTTCTGGGCTCCATTTTAGCTCGTAAGAGCACATTGCGGTTATTGTGATTATGACTGCCGAAAATAACACATTGCTATGTTGCGCCTACCGGGCAGGTCCCATCTTACACACATAGGGGCTGCTTCCGTGCTTAGGGTTCTGCGGCCGGTGAGCGGCCTCGCGACCCGCCGCCCTTGGAGGCCAGGTCCTCGGTGGACCAGCCGATGACTGGGCTGTACACATACGTCATCAGAGACGACTTGGACGTCATCAGCGCCTGCGACGACTTGTCGATGACCTCCTGGGAGGGCTGCTGGCGCACCACGCACTCGTCGAGCAGGCCGGGCCGCCAGTGGCGGGTGGGCGCGCACACGTCCAGCTCGCTGTCGAACCGCTCGGTGCGGCGACACTCGATCAGCACGTAGCCGAGCAGCAGGCCCACGGGGCCGGCGGCCAGCAGGCCGCTCACCGAGAACGTCCAGCCGGTCACCTCGCCGCGCAGCGGCCGCCCCGGCAGCATCGCCTCCTCCACCACCGTGCCGAAAAACAGCACCACCAGCAGCACCGGGCACACGATGCACCACGAGATGCCCCAGTAGTTGAACGACCACCGCATCGAGACGTTCATGGCGTCCCGGAGGTCGTCCAGCAGCCGCTCCACGCTCAGCGTGGAGTTGACGGCTACCAGCAGCGCGGTGGTCAGCGCGATGCTGATGTAGACGCTGACGTGCTGGTAGACGGACAGAAAGGTGAAGTAGCTGGCCTGCACGGTGCTCACCGCGTCCACCACGAAGAACACGGCGCACAGCAGGAGCACCACGGCGCGCGTGGACAGGCCGCGCACCAGGTTCAGCTCGCGCAGACTCGCCTCGATCGTCAGCAGCACGATCTGGACGAACCCAAGACCGGCGAGCACGATGGCGAGCAGCATCAGCACGGACCAGTTCTCGCTGTCGGGCAGCATGCCCAGGGTCGAGGTGAGCCGCACCAGGGCGTGGTGGTCCCCGTAGGCCGCGGTCAGCTCCCGCGCCTCCTCGCCGACCTCGACGGCGTGCGTCCCGGCCATCAGAGCGTAGCACACCACACACATGACGCTCACCGCAAACTTCACGGCGATCAGTGTGACGGCCGAGCGTTTGCAGTTGTGCGTCAGCATGTTGCGGCTGTAGATGAAGCTGTTCACGCCGAGGCCGGTGCTCTGCGTGCACAGGGTATATTTGGCGGCGTTCAGCCAGTCGCGCGAGTCGGCCAGTGAGACGGGGTCGATGGCCAGCAGGCTCAGGGCGGCCCGCGCCGCGCGCTGCGAGCTCAGCAGCGAGATGGTGAGCGCCGTGACGACGAGCAGCGGCGCGCCGATGACGAACGGCAGCGTGTACCGCACGCCGGCGGCGCCGGCCTGCGAGACGAGCGCCGCCAGCATCCAGCAGACGAGCAGCGAGATGGCCACCGCGCCCTGCGCGCGCCGCAGCCCCGGGATCACCGCGTACGGCACGCGGTCGAAGAACTCCACCCCGGCGACGGTCCGCAGCTGGTGCAGCCGCGTGTGGTTGAACGTGAACGAGCGGTTCGACTGGGGGACGCACGCGGAGGAGAGGTTCCACCGCGCGACCCGCTCGTCGGTCGGCTCGCACACCTCGCGCAGTGTGAGGCAGCGCCGCCCGACGAAGAGGGCGGCGCCCTGGCTCTGGCAGCTCTGGTCCAACCGGTGGGTGTAGCACAAAGGGCCGTTGTAGCTGTTGGAACAGGTGCTCCAGGCGGCCGGACTGCGGGTGGCCTCCACGCTGTAGAGCGCCGCGCTGCTCACCACCGGCATGTACGTGATGGCGATCACAATCAGCGAGACCAGCATGGCGTACGAGAAGCCCTTCAGCACTGGCGCCATCTCCGGCATCAGCCGGGCCAGGCCGTGGCCGCAAAACTGGCCGAGTGCCGCCTCCAGCAGGAGCATGGGCGCGCCGAACAGCACGAGGCAGGCGGCGTACATGAGGAGGAAGGCGCCGCCGCTGTGCTGCAGGCTGAGGTGCGGCATGTAGAGCAGGGTGACGACGCTGACCAGCGCGCTGCAGCCGACGGCTAGCAGCTCGCCGTCCGAGCCCCAGACTCCGCGGTCCTCGCGGACCTTGCGCTCCGTCATCGACTCCAGCAGGCGCGACACGGTGCGCGCCGGGTTGAACAGGATCATACGCGAGCCGCCCGGCCTCTGCGCCGCCTCCTGCGGGACGAGGTCACACTGTGGACACTCGAACTTCCGGGCGGCCGGATCGCGGAACCTGGTCTTCCGAACTGTTCTGGAGTCTTTGCTGTCGTTGGAGAGCACCTCGATTCCCTCAGAGTCTACGACGATTGTGCCAAATTCTGTATTAATCTTTCGCTTTCTAGTTTCTGCGAGAAGTAGCAGTGAGGGGGTGAGTGTGGCCGGTTTCTTTGTGTTCACGGCCGGAACTTCGGGGAGGGTCACTTGTTCAGTTCCATCGGTGGTGCTTGCCTCCGTTTCTTTTGTTGAACGACTTTCTGGTATGGTGACAAAATAGTCCATCTCGATAACTGTCAATAGATTCTGCCCTTAGAAATAATTATTATGTCCTATGTATCTTTTTGCTAATCGATTCAGCTCAATCAGGTTTCTTGTGACATATGCAAATTATTGTGAATGACCACTTCGTGGAACCCAGTTATTGCTCCATTTATACGCACTCGACGTAAACGATTTCTTAATGGTCTATTTTTTGCCTGTTTCAAGGCCTGTTTTGTACTGGCTGTCTATTTTTTACGTCTCTCTTGATAAAACTCGTGCAGTTGAACAGACGCACTTCCCAAATTATTTTTGATAAAGGTCGTGGTGAGATCCAAAAGAGTACGTATTGCCATTGTGCCCCTATCTCGACCATTGGTATTGTGCACTGATTCGTTGATCAGTAACTCATCATTAGTAGTTCCTTTGGTTGCAGTGAGCAGTAAGCAATCCATTGCTTTTGACGTCACTTATCTATTTACCTTATGATATAGCTCAACATTTTGGCGGTACTCAGAATCGTAACTTTTCCTGACCCTTTCCATCTGCGAAGATGGCTGTCGTTGGTAAAACGTGGCGTTATACCTATATTGACATAAAGTTATAAGAGTGGAGTGATGCGAGAGGAATGTCTCGATTTTATTTTGTATCACCAGCGTGCCGTTGCTGACATCATGTATCATGCATATAATCCAGATACATTCACATCACACCCTACCACTGGCTGACATGTCCACACTTCTGGAGAGGGATGTGTATGGACATGATATCGCACGACTACGCTGAATTTAAGCACACACTGGATTCACAATGATGTCGCATTCCTCGTCACTCGACCCTCGGAGACTGCGCCAACCGCTGTTCACTTGCCGTACCCGTGTGCCGCCGCGCCGGCGCTGGGTCCTTCGCGGGCCCCAGGTAGGTACCGGGGCGCTCTGCAGACCGCTCGGACCGCTGTTCACTTGCCGTACGAGTGTGCGGCCGGCGCGGGGTCCCGCGCGGGCGCCCCGTACCCGGCGGCGGGCTCGCGCGGCGGCGGCTCCACCACCGTCACCGTGACGGCCGGCTCTCGCACGGTGACCGTGCTGGCCAGCGGCTGCACCGTGACCGTCTGGGGTAGCGAGGTGACCGTCACCGGCGGCTGGTTCAGAGTCACCGTCTGCGGCGGCGACTGGGCCACCTGCTGGACCGTGACTGTCTGCGGCGGCGACTGCTGGACCACCGTGACTGTCTGCTGCGCCGGGGCCTGTTGGTACACCACCTGCTGCTGAGGTGGGGCCTGCTGGTACACTGTCTGCGCCGGGGCCTGCTGGTACACTGTCTGCGCCGGGGCCTGCTGGACCACCACCTGCGGCTGGGCCTGCTGGTACACCACCTGCTGCTGAGGTGGGGCCTGCTGGTACACCACCTGTGGACTCGACTGAATGACGGCGGGCTGGGCAGCCTGGACCACCGCCGGCGCCGCCGCTGCGTACGTCACGGCCGGGGCATAGGACGGTGCAGCGTAGGTCACGGGCGCCGGCGCCGCGTACTGGAGGGGAGCCGCCGCAGCGTACGAGACGGGCGCCGCCTGCACCGGGTAGTAGTACGAGTAGGATGGCGCCGCCAGCGTGACACGACCTCTGCAAACGGAACGGATGAGGTCACTGGACGGCAGACGTGTCAGATGGCGCGGCAAACAAAAATACCGGGCTCGGTCGAATGTCATGGTCGAAAAATATTTTACCAGAGACCTCTGTATAGTGTATACCTTCCGTATATAGAGGGATGTATACAGAGGTCTATGATTTCACCAAAAAGTACCTTTAACCAAATACAGGCGAAAAACTGTACCTATTTGAGAAGTGTTCGGCTGCTTAGCGGAAGAGAAAGGAAGTAACGTCACAGTCTACTTTATTTAGGACTCACCCTTTTCCTTTCCCCTTGTGGCCACCAAATGTTGAGTGAGCTACACCAAAGCAAAATAGCATAGCTATCGCAACCTGTGGAAACGAAACGTACATGTGCGTAAATATGAGTACACGGATGAACGAGTGACGGGACTGTTTTAGTATGCTAAGAAACCTGAATGCATGCAAATATTTCTAATCTGGTCTTCTCAGAAGTTGTCTCAAGGCCATTTACAATTAATAGTTCATAATATGCTAGAAAAAGACGTGAGCATAATTGTTGGCTTGACTTGACAATGCAATGCAATCGCAAATCATAAACAGCATTCCTTTTTCGTTTCCCTAATCGTATTTCTTTCCACAATAAGCTGGAATCATGGACATTGCGTAGGACGAGATCTCAGTACACTTAGCACTCCTGAATAGTTAGCGGATATTCTAGCGACTATAGTAGCGGTCCGCCGCTGTCAGCACCTAAACGTCCCACCGGCACCCTCTGTATCTTCGGTGACGGGTTAATACAGGGTGTGTGTATAAGGGAGGATTGAGCGTTATCCCCGCGGGTCTCACCTGTGAGGGGGCCATGCTGATGTCGGCGCCGCCGCCGCCGGCTGACAAGTGAGCCGACCCGTCTCCGCGGCGCCGTCCCGTCCTGCACAGAGTGCACACTCTCTGCACAGCTGCCGACCTGACGGTGAGGCAACACGGGCCGGTGGAGCGGCGCGCGCCCGACCCGAGCGGCGGCCGGCAGCCGGCGGACGGCGAGCTCTGCCCCCTGAGCTGCGGTGGGGTCGCAGTTGAGACCTGTCCCGGCCGTGATAGGTTCAGTGAGACGCGAGCGGGACCGACAGGTTTGGGCCAGAAGGTGGGGCTATAATTATCTCTGGCTCGTGTTATCTTCGACAAAATAGCTTACTCGCCCGAGCTCAGTCTCAACTGTGCCATTATCTCAGCCTCAGCCGAATGTCAACTAAATGTTAACACAGCACCGGATTGAATTCATTTTCATATACATCACATACATATCTGGTTCTAAACTCAAATCGCGGTGTGTGCCGGATACATTTGTCATAACTAATTAACTGGTACCTGATGTCACCCACGTGACCTCTCGAACTGGCCGACCAGACCAGATGAAGGGTTGATCCGGGTCCGGTTGTATGACCTAACAACTCTCTCGCCGACTCCAAAAGCCCACCTCACTCACAATGGACAATAGGAACCACAGGCAGCCGCTCAGTTCGGGGGACATCGCGGGAGAGCTGACTGCGAGCTGCCGGTCGGCCGGGCACGCCTCTAATCCCGGGAATTATCTTCATCGGTGACTTGTTGATTTATGGAAAATGCATTGCAAGATTGTGCAGCATCCTAATTAATTGCGAAAATGTCATCAACATAGACTGCATCACATTGCAAAATGACACTTTAGTAAACCAGTTCCAGCTTAAGAGCATTATGCTTTCTAAAGCTAAATTTATCAAGCTGAACGAAGAGGAAGTATTTCACGACTTTCTTTTACTTTCGCATTTGGTTGTCTTGTCACGACCGATTCGATCTGCAATATAAGTGGTGGCATTATTTCGATATGATTGGGATAAGATGCAAGCTGATCTCTCTCTCTCTCTCTCTCTCTCTCTCTCTCTCTCTCTCTCTCTCTCTCTCTCTCTCTCTCTCTCTCTCTCTCTCTCTTTTCCCTCCCTCCCTCCCTATGCCCCCCATTCTCTCTGCCCCTCCCTTTTCTCACTCCCCTTCTCTCTTTCTCTTTCTCTTTCTCTTTCTCTTTCTCTTTCTCTTTCTCCTTCTCATTCTCTATCTCTATCTCTATCTCTATGTCTATCTCTTTCGCTTTCTATTTGGCTTTCTCTTTTTCTCTCTTTCTCTCTTTCTCCCTTTATCATTCTCATTCTCATTCTCATTTTCATTCTCTTTCTCAACTTGTACCTGTATGCAGGTTGCTGGCTACCATTCATTTTAGGTGCAATAGGTATTACGCATTGCACATGATATGCAGTTTCAATGATTTCAATAATTGACGGACAATTCCAACGGCAAGCGCAGTTTGAATTAACCCTCCACGTACCGTTTGGTTTTCGATAGATATACCGAAGGGCCTAGAGGTGGTATGCTACCTTCGCCTTTCAACCCGATTGAGGTAGAGCTAGAGCTTGGCAGAAAAACGAGCATGTTCGATGTTCGCCGTTACGAGACGCAGTGAATGTTTCCCAGTGTTAAGGTCTGAGGCCAACTGGTTAGTGGTTAGGTAAGTACCTCTGAGCAGTGGCGCAGCCAGGGGGGGGTCAGAGGGTCAGCTGACCCCCCCGAAATTTCTGTCAGGGGCCCGCTCGAGAGAGAGAGAGAGAGAGAGAGAGAGAGAGAGAGAGAGAGAGAGAGAGAGAGCCCTGGGTGGATGGGGCCCGGCCCCCCGTGGATGGAGCCGGGCCCAGGGTGGACGGGGCCCGGACCCCCGGTTGGATGGGGCCCGGGCCCCCGGGAGAACGGGCCCCGGATGGACGGGACCCGGACCCCCGGTTGGATGGGGCCCGGGCCCCGGGAGAACGGGCCCGGGCCTCCCGGAGAACGGGCCCGGGCCCCCGGGAGAACTGGCCCGGGCCCCTCGGAGAACGGGCCCTGGCCCCCCGTGGATGGGTCCGGGGCCCCGGGTGGACGGGGCCCGGACTCCCGGTTGGATGGGGCCCGGGCCCCCGGGAAAACGGGCCCGGGCCCCCTGGGTGGATGGGGCCCGGGCCCCCCGTGGATGGGGCCGGGCCCCCGGGAGAACGGGCCCGGGCCTCCCGGAGAATGGGCCCGGGCCCCCGGGAGAACTGGCCCGGGCCCCCGGGAGAACTGGCCCGGGCCCCCGGGAGAACTGGCCCGGGCCCCTGGGAGAACGGACCCTGGCCCCCCGTGGATGGGTCCGGGGCCCGGGAGAACCCCGGTTGGATGGGGCCCGGGCCCCCGGGAGAACTGGCTCGGGCCCCTGGGAGAACGGGCCCGGATCCCCTGGGTGGATGGGTCCGGGCCCCCAGGAGGACGGGCCCGGGCCTCCCGGGAAACGGGCCCGGGCCCCCGGGAGAACGGGGCCCGGGCCCCCGGATTGATGGGACCCGGGCCCCCTGGTGGACGGGGCCCGGAGCCCCGGGTGAACGGGGCCCGGAGCCCCAGGTGGACGTGGCCCGGGTGGATAGGGCCCGCGCCCCCGTGTGGATAGGGCCCGGGCCCCCGGTTGAATGGGGCCCGCTAGGGTGACCCGCTTGCTCCGTAACGCGAATAAGGGGTATTTTCGATCGGTGGGCGTTTGGTTGGTCTTGTGTCCGTGGGTCATGTATCCATTTCGGTCGATTGCTTTTTGGCGGCTAAGCATTTTGGTTTGGGAAAAAATATCCATCGCATCGAGGTGCTCGTGTTGCCGGGACCTCGATAGCAGACAGAATCTACGTCACCACATCACCACACCACAACAAACCCGGCCCAAGGCAATACATGTCCCATATGAGCGCGTTAACCCTCGCCGGCACAGGCTATTCCAGCCATTTTGCGTCCTTCGACGGCACAAAGGGAGGGTGGTACGACCCCCCCCGCGTTTGGCCCATGATTGAGCTAGAGCTTCGCGGAAAAAAAAACGAACGTGTTGCCCGTGACGAGAGTAAGCCGATGATACTCAATTTTAAGGTTCTTGGTCATTGGTTGACCTTCCAGGTCAGGTCAATGACCCAAAAATCGGGAAAATCGGGACCTGTTAGAACGTCGTTAAGTGTGGCTGCTATAGGGTTTTTGGGGTGCTGATCAAGAATAGTTATCATGTTAGTTTTGATCACAGATGATGTATTTATGCATTTAGGTCAGGTCGGGTCAGGTCAGGTCAGGTCAACCAGTAGGGGTCCTGCCGGGTATTTGTAGTACCTACGTGTCAGCCGCCTCTAGCAGCTTCGTAACATGTTACGAAGGCACCAAAACTACTTCGTGAATGTTCAAATGGTTGCTAAATTCGGATTCAGCTCCAAAAACTGGCCTAGAAACATGTAAAATTCGAAAAAGTACCGAGGTCATCATATGTCAATGACCTGACCTGACCTTCAGGTAACCTTGACACCCACCCTAATGCATGGGAGCAGCATCAACTCACATGTTTGAACGCTTGAAACCACGAAAAGACTGCAAGCGCGCGGCTAATGCGAGCCGGCATACGCCGAATCGCGATTCTGCCCAAACATGGTCTCGGAAAGTAGGTCACAGGTCAAAGGTCATTTGAGTCAGGGTCATGCAATTTCTATAGGGTAGGTGTAAAACTGATCAACGCGAGGATACTGAAAGTGTTGTCGCGATCGGCCACTTTTTACGCGAGTTATTCGCGAAAACCCTTAGGGGATTGCATCATCCCCTCCCCCTGCGCCGGCGAGGGTTAAAACTTCTTGTGAGCGAATTCACGTAATGAAGAAGGATAAAGGCACAATCTCCTACAGCAGCCAATAGATGATTTAGGACAGGCACATGGGATGATGGGAATACTTAAATATTGTCCAATAGAAGCAGGCAACAGCTCCGTTTACATATATGCTATGCATATTGCGGAAGGGGCGGCCTCGAAAGATACGTATTCATACCTCAATCCTCATAACTAGTAACATATTTCTGTCATGGTCAATTCGCGTAGAAATTGAACACCGGGTGATCACCGAGCTATTGTTCTATCAAAATTTTCCGATTCAAACTCGCTCAGGGTTATCATGTGTAGGTAAAGGGGGGCCCGTTCAGCAGAATGTGTATGAAATATGGAAAGATTCTGAAAAATGGGTGGAGGCCCGCACACTAGGGGGCCCGC